TACATACATACATACATACATACATACATACATACATACATACATACATACATACATACATACATACATACATGCAAGTTAAGTGTGTACACTTAAGTGTGTTTATTGGTCCCCATGCGTATATATGCACTTTTTTTAATGGGATAAAATATTTTATTGTAATTTATTTTAGAGAACCCTATATATATATATATACATACAGTATGTATGTATGTATGTATGTATGTATGTATGTATGTATGTATGTATGTATGTATGTATGTATGTATGTATGTATGTATGTATGTATATGCTAGAGGGGTGCCCAAACATTTTCCCCAAGAGGGCCAAAATAAAAATCTATCCAGGGCTGTGGGCCAAATACAGTAATATAAAACTTGAAATACAAATACTTTTTAAGTAAAGTCCTTTATTTTTAACCACTAAACTTGCAGCCAGTGTGGTGGTCCGCTTTTGTTTTACTCTGCTCAGTTGGAGAAAGTCTGCCATACGTTAATGTCCCATGAGCCTTTGCCACTTAGATAAATTCTGCACCATGATTGAAGACTATCTGTATTACAGCCCCTTATATAGTCATTGGGCCAATAGATGAAATGACTAAGTGGAAATACTGTGTTTTTACATAGGATGATGACAGGTTACTATGTCAACTGCTGGTGGGCCAAATCAAATGGCTTGGCGGGCCAGGCCGCATTTTGGGCTCCTCTGTAGACGCTACACTAATACATTATCATTTAAATACCATATCACCACTCGTTCAGCCTACTTTCACCTCCATAATGTCGCTCGTCTCTGTCCATCCCTCTCACCCAGCAGTGCCGCTATTCTGGTTCACTCTCTGGTCACATCACATCTAGATTATTACAACTCCCTACTGTTTGGTTTACCAGCAGAATCCATCCATAAACTACAACTGGGCCAAAACTCAGCTGCTCGTATCATTTCCAGAACCCCTTCCATCGATCAACACCTGTCCTAAAAAAAAAATCAATGGAAAAGTTGTCTTTGTGTTTAAGTTTCTCACAAGCGAAAGACAATAAACTTGTGAAATCCAGAGACAACTTATTGTGTAAGTAGTTTCAACAGCATGTCTTCACCAAAGCTGTTTTTTTTCTCTTTCTGTTGCAGTTTTTCAGTGATCTGTCCAGGCTGGACTTTCCCTCTCACCCTGAACCTGCAGGGTTGGTCCTCAGGTCCCACCAGGACCGAACAGGATGACGCAGGTGATTGATAAGATTAAAAGAAGTTAAGCATCACACTGAAAACATCAGATAGTGTGAAACCTGTATGAGTTATGCACTAAAGCTAAAACCTTATCTTCTTCTGACGACACACTGATGCTCCTGAAACACATTTCTGAGCTGAAACTGCCCTGAAGCACCCAGGAACTGAAAAACTACATTTTACTGTTTATTTTTGGGTCAGTGACTGCTCCCACAGAAACAACTACAAAATGAATCACTTTCAAAGTGTAACAATGACAAGGAGACGTGATAGTCTGAAGTGTTATTTTGTTACACTGGAGATCCAGCAAAATAATCTGAGTTTAGTTTGTATTTGTAAATAAACACGAATCCCCTTTTTTTCTACAAACTCTTAATTTGGATTTCTAAGACGTGTAATGTCTTGACTTTTTACACACCTACACACACACACACACACACACACACACACAC